ATTGGCTGTTAATGAGGGAGAACAAAGCCTAATGGCAGCGAGTGCGAGGACGGGGGGGGGGGGGGTAGGAGGAGGGTAGGTGGTAGGAGGAAGGGGGAGGGAAGAGGGTGGAGGGTGGAATGAAGAGCAAGCAGGAAGTAAGGAAGAGAGAGAGAGAAGGAATGAAGAGGGAGTAGGATAAGAGTGAGGAAGGAGGAGGAGGAGAGATGGAAAAAGGAGGAGAGGGAAGGAGGAAGAGACGAGGAAGAGGGCGGGTGGAGGAGGGGGGGGGAGGGGAAAGAGGGGAGAGGGAGGGACGAGGATGACGGGGGGGGGGGTTAAGGAGAAAGAGGGAGAGAAGAGGGAGGGAGGGAGGCAGGAGGGCGGAGGGGGAGGAGAGGGGAAAAAATACTCATTTCGTGTGAGATTTATGTCGGAGCTGTTTATAAAGTGTGAAAGGGGATGCGGATTTATTTTTCAAAGCTGGAAGGGGATTTATTATTTTTTCTGTGATGAGGGGGGAGGGGGAGGGTAAGGGAACATTTTTTTTTTCTGATGACAAATACAAGCAAAAAATATCGTGTTTTTCAATACTATTTTCTTCTCATTTGAAAAGGATACTTGTACGTTCTATATATTTTTTCTTTTCGTTTTTCCTCACCCTATTTTGTAACACCTACCCCCATTCTTCCTCCCCGTCTTCTTTCCTCTCTAGTTCTTAGTTAGTCCTCCTCTCCATCTTTGCCCGCACAGTCGTCGTCGTCGTGGTGCTCTTCCTCCTCCTCCTGAAGCCCCCTCAGGTCTCCTCTTCAGCTTATTGTTTTTATGATTTTTTTCTTCTTATTATTACTATCATTATTATTTTCTTCTTTTTCTTCTTCTTCTTCTAATTATTATTATTATTTTCTTATTATTATTATTATTTTCTTACTATTATTATTTTCTTCTTATTATTATTATTATTATTTTCTTCTTCTTTTCTTCTTCTTCTTCTACTTCTCCTCCACCTCCTCCATCATCTCCCTTTATTCCACCTCCCCTCCTGCTTTTTCTCCTCCACCTCCCCACCTCTTCCGCCCCTCCCCCTCCCTCCCGAAGGCATGCCCCTTCTCCCTCATCTCCCTCACCGCGAATCCCCAGCTAGTCTACCAGGGATTCACACGCCATAAAAGTAAGCGTTTTGAGAAGTCCTTCTATTTAATTTGAGACGCGACGCACACCCTAAAACACTCCTCCTTTTCCTCCTTCCTTACCCTCCTCCCTGCCCCCTCATTGCTCCCTTCCTACCTCCCTCCCTCCTTCCTCACCTACTTCCTCCCTCCCTCTTTCACCCCCTCCTCTCCGTCCCTCCCTCCCCCAATCCTCTCCTCTCCCTCCCTCCCTCCCCAATTCCCTCCTGACTCCTACTCCTTTGGACATATACTCGGCACGTGATGAGGGTGCCAAGTGACAGTGCCAGCCGAGAGTGCCAAGCCGCGGTGCCATCTCTCGCATGTGGGACTTTAAATGTCCGGTCAGATGGTTTGGTTAAGGCGGGGGGTAGGAGGGGGGAGGGGGTGCAGTAGGCGGGGCTATGACTCAGTCAGCTGGTGCTAAGATGGCGATTTTTTTCCTTTATTAGAATCACGTATATGAATGAGAGAGATGGAAGGAGAAGCAGTGGTCATTGGCGAAGGGAAATGATTTGTGGGTCATTTTTCCTTTCTTCCATTTTCTGTTTTTCATTCATTTTTTCGTTGAAGAATGTGATTTTTATCCATCAATATATCACTTGTTAATCTGAAGTGATTATGTTATTCATTATTATTATTATTATTATTATTATTATTATTATATATATATATATATATATTTATATATATTTAATCATATATTGTCTATAGTTTGTTTTACTTTGCGTCTATGATTTATTTTCACATTTCTGCTCTAAATTCTGTTTTTTACTGTGCTCTTTTTTGTGCATTTTCTCTCTCCGAGTTTTAAGAAATCGACTTTATAATTTTTTTCTATCCATTTTTTATATATAATATTAGCACCAAAGTTCTTGAAGAGAAGACCACAAAAAGAACAGAAAAAATAGAAGCAATAGCGAAAAAAAAGAAAAAAGTTAAAGGTTTAGATTGCTAATGGTTCTCAAAGGAGCTGTTTTGCGGTCAGTCCTCGTCGGGCGATTAGCATTGCAAAACGACTTGTTGGAATTCGAACCTCGGCCGGGGCGCTGCTGGTCGGGTGGGGGGGGGGGGTGAGAGGAGGGGGTGAGAGAGGGGAGAAAGGTGGAGAGGGGGTGAGAAAGGGGGAGAGGGATGGGGTGGGATTGAAGGAGGGGAATGGGAAAGGGTGTCATATGCCTGGAAGGGTAGAGAGGTGTAGGGTGAGAGCGGGGAAGAGCGATAGGGAGTGGAGGAGGAGAGTGGGAGAGGAAAAGTGGGGTGGGGAGTGGGAGAGGGGGAGAAGGATGGGACGATTTAGGAGGAGAGGGATAGAGTTTAAGAAGGGGAGAAGGACGGGGGTGAGAGAGGGGGAGAAGGATGGGGTACGAGATGAGGAAAGGGACAGGGGCGAAAGAAAGAGAAGGGGATAGGGTTAGAAAGACGGGAAATGGATGGGAATAAGAGAGCGGAAAAGGGATGTGTATGGGAAAGAGGGAGAGAAGGGGAAAGAGAGACAGGTAGAAATGGAAGGGAAGAAGAGGGAGAAGGGGCGCGAGGGACAGAGGGGAAAGAGAGAGAGGCAGAAAGATAATATGAAAAGGAAAGGAGAGGAGGGGCAGAAGGTGAAATGGAGATTGGGAAAGTAAGGAATTGGTAAATAAAAAAGAGAGACGGATAAATGGAAAGAGGGAGATAGAACAAACACAAAGAAGGATATGTGAAGAAAAGGAGAAAATGGAAACATATTGGCGAAAGAGGGGAAGTAATGAAGAGGTTAAATAAGAAAAAAGAGAAAGACTGGGAAGAAATGGGGAGAAGAGGAGAAAAGGGAACAGAACAAACAGGGGGAACAGGAGGAAGAGGGGAAAGAGAAAAGGGAGAGATGGCGGGGAAGAGAAACAGGGGAATAAGAATAAATGGAGGAAACAAAGGGGGGGATAAATAAAAAAGGGGAGGAGGGAGAGAAACGACCAGATCAACGAAAGAAAAGATAAAAGATATACGAGTAAAAAGGGTGCATGTTGCAAGGGGCAGAGGGTGAAAGGGTGTTGGAAGACCGATATTGCAAGGGAGTCGGAAAGGCGAAGGGTGAGAGCGAGATGCAAGATAAGGAAGGATTGCAAAAAGGGGGAGGCGGTTTGGGGGGGGGTATAGGGTGGAAGGATGTGGGGGATTAAAGGGTGTTGCAGAGGATTGCAAGAATGATACAAGGATCACAATGAAAAGGATCAGTGACGTGCTTTGATAAGAGTGATGGTGACTCGCCAGATGATGATGATGATTTTTTCTCTCTCTCTTTTTTCGACATTATAAGTAACGATGATTATGATGATTATGAGGAGTAACTACACGAATAAAGTGAAATATCATGAGGTCATCGCCGCCATGTCACACAGCCTCGCCCCCCAACCGGAGAACGATCTGTGACATTTATGTGACGGATGACATCATCACCATCGCCGGGCGCATATTCATCACTTCCTTCATTCAATCTTTTTAATTAGTCGGCTGAATGTGCCGCGACTGGAGGCGAGAGAATCAGGGACTTAATCCGACTGGAGATTCTTTCAAAGGAATGTTTTTAGTTGTGTGGACCTTCTTTGGGGTGGATTTTTATTTATTATTGGGGGTGAGGGGTGTGGAGGGAGGATAAGGAGGAGGGGAGGGGGAAGGAGGGGGAGGAGAGGAGGAGGAGGATGGGAGAAGGGAAAAGGAAGGGGAGGAGAGGAGGAAGAAAGGGGATGGGAGGGGAGGGGAGGAAGGGAGAGGGCAGAAGAAGAGAGGAGGAGGGGAAGGGAGAGACAGGAAAGGGGAAGGAAGATGGGGGGGGGGGGTGATGGGGAAGACGAATGATATCCCGAAGTAAAAATCATGACACTGGATAAAAAAGTCAATGCCGTTCAGTGAAGACAAGAAAAAACTGGCGGATAGATTAAATGATAAAAAAGGGGAAAAAAGGAGTGAAACATAGTCTAATATAAGTGATGATTTATCTCTTTGTCATGATTGGTTTTAAATGAGTTAGGCGCCATTTAAATAACAATAAGGCATGATTGTGTAAAATAAGAGACTGGGCATCAAAGGATTATCCCTGCACTCGGCTGGATACAACCATCCTACAGACGCGCACAAAAAAACGCGGCATTTAACTTACAGTTTTCCCTCGAGCTTTTTGAAAAAATATAGGATTTGCAAGAGAAAATTAAACGCATTCAGATGCATTCGTGCGCAGTGAGATCGGGAATAGAGAAATAATAAGAAGAAAGGAAGAGTGAGAGAAAAAAACGGCGTTCGTCTGCGCGCGCGAAACTGGAAACGACGCGGAGCCATAGACATGCGCTGGAGGGGGAAGGGGAGGGGAGGAGTGGAGGGCGGGGGAAGGGAGTGGGGAATATGGGGAGAGGGAAGGAGTGGGGAACAGCGGAGGGAGTCGTGGGCGGGGGGCAGGGAACAGCGGAGGGCAGGGGGCAGGGTGTCATATGCCTGGTGTCTGCGGAGTGTCACCTAAGCATGATTTATTGCATGTGCGTGTACTTCTGCAACCAAGAGCGAGGTAGGCTTTATTGACACGACAAAATCCCGACCGTGAGTGATCTGCGAGGAGCGACCCCCTCGCGCACCGCCGATGCTCCTGCTGTTCCTCCTGCTCCTGCTGCAGATTCTGCTGCTTCGCCTTTTGGTCTTCTTGCTGCTCCTGCTGCCCCTGTTCCTGCTTCCTGCTGCTCCATAGCTGTCACTTGGCGACCTTACTTCCTGGCGCCGCTTCGCTTCCGTTTGGGGCTTGTGCTTCTTGCCGGATTTTTTCTTTTGTTTCCCTTGGCGTCAGTGCGGCGGCTGCTGCGGGGGATTTCTTCGATGGCGAATTGCGCGATGGTGCTGATGTTGCAGAAATCACTGCCGAGAGTTAGGACGCGCGTGTCGCGTCAGTTGATGTCGCCGTCGCCGCAAAGGCCTGTCACTCCCGCCCTTGTCCTGATCCCGTCAGCTCTGTCAGTCACCTCAGCGGGCCACCTGAAATCGCCATACCTTCAGCGCCTCACCCCGTGACCCTCCCTCCCCATCTCCACGCTCACCCCCTGCGGCGTCTCCCTCACCCCCGGCCTTCCAACCTCCCGCCGCGCCGTCGGCAGCGCTGCCCTCAGCCGCCCCTCCCGAGCAGCAGCGGCGCTATCAGCATCAGCATCAGCTGTGCGGCGGCTCCTCCTCCCCGGCCATCAGCGGGAATGGCCGCGAGATCCTCTCAATCTGGCCGTTTAGGGGCGGCGGCGGTGACCGGGCCTTAGCGGATCAGAGGGGCGACGGCGGTCCGGCGGCGGCCGCCCCGGGGATCCACACTGTTAGCGGAGATCCCGAGCAGTTGCCGGGCTAATGCCGACACTTTGTCCCCTCGGAGGGGCTTAGCTCGCGCCGAGGGGAAGAAGGGGCCAGGGGCGTCGCGCGCCGGAGGGACCCGCGCGAGGGGAAGCCAGCCCTCGGCGCGGGGGAGTTAGGGTGCTTTCCCTCGCCCGGCCGTCCCTCGGAGCACGGGGCGGGTGCGGGTTACGGCCCTCGTGGCGCGCGCGCCGGGCTGGAGTGTCACCCACATCAGATAGCCGCGGGCGACTCCGTGTCCGGCGCGGAGGAACAAAGATCTCAGCAGGAGGAGAGGAGGAGGAGGAGGAGGAGGAGGAGGAGGAGGAGGAGGAGGAGGAGGAGGAGGAGGAGGAGGAGGAAGAGGAGAAGAAGAAGAAGAAGAAGAAGAAGAAGAAGAAGAAGAAGAAGAAGAAGAAGAAGAAGAAGAAGAAGGAGGGAAGGGAGGAGAAGGAGGAGAAGGAGGGAGAGAAGGAGAGAGAAGAGAGAAGGAGGAGGAAGAAAGGAGGAGGATAAGGAGAGGAGAAGAGGAGAAGGAGGAGGAGGAGGAGGAGGGGAGGAGAAGGAGGAGGAGAAGGAGGAGAAGAGAGGAGAAGAGGAGGAGAGAGAGAGAGGAGGAGAGGAGAAGGAGAAGGAGGAAGGGAAGGAGGAGGAGAAGGAGAGGAGAAGGAGGAGGGAAGGAGGAGGAGGAGGAGGAGAAGGAGGAGGAGAGAGGAGAAGGAGAAGGAGGAGAAGGAGAAAGGAGGAGGAGAAGGAGAGGAGGGAAAGGAGGAGAGGAGAGAGGAGGAGAAGGAGAAGGAGGAGGAGGAGGAGGAGAGGAGGAGGAGGAGGAGGAGAAGAAGAGAAGAAGAAGAAGAAGAAGGAGAGAAGAGAAGAAGAAGAAGAGAGAAAGAAGAAGCGGAGGAAGGAGGAGAAGGAGAAAAGGAGAAGAGAGGGGAGGAAAGGATAAGATGGGATGGAGAGGAGTAGGAGGAGGAGGTAGAGAAGGCCTATGAGGTGAGGAAAGGGGGGGGGGAGGGGAGGGGGGTTAGCAAGGGACTGTATGAGGTGAGAATCAGGAGGAGAAGGAGGAGGACTTCGCCTCATGAAGGCACCTTGAACTCGCTTGACCTTCAACATTTTTTTTTTCTTTTTTTTACTTTTTATTAAATTTTTTTTAGGCGACGATCTCAAGCCAACGGTATTTTTTTCTCTCCTTTCTCATCCCCATTACTCTGAGGGGAAAATAACGTGGAAAGGGGATCGTACAAAACGCGAACTATCGTAATAACACTTGATCAGTATATACATGTCGAATGTGCTATTATCTCCTCCTCCCCTCTCCCCCCGTCTCTCCCTCTCCCCCCTCCCGCCTATAACGAGTGTTATCGTGTTATGACCTCCTTTTTTGCCATATTTTACAGCGCTGACAATACGTGTTATGTTATTGCTTCGGATTATTCTTATGGCGTGTTTTGCCTTTTTTGTGCCATTTTTTTATCCATTCTTCAAAGACCGTTTTTTGGTTTCGTTCTTGCACGTGACTTGGGAGGTACTTGTGTCTTTTTTTGTTTTTGTTTTTGCTTTGTAACTGTATTTTTTATACAGTGAACCCTTGCTATAACACGGTTCACTTTTCACGTTCTCTCCGCTTCTTCTCTACCTGTGTGTCAATAACGTTACGGTTTGATATGTACATGTACGTAAAACAGCTTGCCAAATTTAAGTTTGCAAATTTTCTCTAAAACCCATGAAGCCTTCAGTGTTGTTCTTTGGCTTTAATGCATTGTAAAGTATTTCATTGTATAATAATTGTAAAAAAAAATTAAAGGTTACTACTTCACGGATTTCGCCTATCGCGGGTTCTTTTTGGAACGTAACCCCCGCGAAGAACGAGGGTTCACTGTATTCTATTCAACACTCGAAGGGTAATTCCGATTAGAAATAACCAGTTAGTGCCAAATGTACGATCGATATATATAATATATATATATATATATATATATATATATATATATAATATATATATATATGTGTGTGTGTGTGTGTGTGTGTGTGTGTGTGTGTGTGTGTGTGTGTGTGTGTGTGTGTGTGTATTATTCTTAGATAAAATGAAAATAAAGAACAATATATACTAGTGAAAATAGCTTGAACATATTTTGATGAAAAAGCATGACATTGAAACAAGTCCTTCCATGATGAAAATTAGACCTGATACAAAATATATATTTATGGGAAAATATAACAACTTGACTTAAAAGCTTCACCTATAACGATGAAGCTGACTTCCCGCCCTCCGCGCTCCCACGCCCCCGCCCCTCGCCCATCTCGCGATGTTATCCCGAGTCACGCCCGCGGAACGAAGCAGGTTACCCGAACCTGCGCTTGTCATCGCCCTTCATGCTTTTCATTTTATTTTGTTTTACAATTGTTGTTTGTTATTTGTTATATCATTATTATTATTATTGTTGTTATTGTTATTATCATTGTTATTATTATTATTGTCATTATCATTTTTATTATTATTGTTATTATTATTATTATTATTATTATTATTATTATTATTATTATTATTATTATTATTATTATTATTATTATTATTATTATTATCGTTATTGTTATTATTATTACTATTATCGTTATTGTTATTGTTATTTTTATTGTTATTGTTATTATTATTATTATTATTATTATTATTATTATTATTATTATTATTATTATTATTATTATTATTATTATTATTATTATTATTATTATTATTATTATTATTATTATTATTATTGTTATTGTTATTATTATTATTATTGCTATTACTATTTCCTTTTGGGGGAGGTGCATGTGCAAGGGGATGGTGTTGGGTGTGTGTTTGTTATTAATTTGCTATTTTGTGTATTTCTTTATCATTTAATTTATTGAGGATTTTTTATGGATATATTTTATCAGCACTCTTTTTTATTTTGCTTCTTTGTGTCCTTTTTAGATCCCTGTGGCGTGGGAACAAAAAGTGAGTAAATCGAAAAAGGTTTGGAAAATCGTAGAGGTTGGTATGGAACGAGCAACAGCGAGAGCATGTGGAAAGGAGAACGTGTGGATGGAAGGATACATAAAAATGCACACACGCACACACAAAAACACAAACACACACTCAAACAAACATAAACACTCACACACACACGCAAACAAACACAAACACACACACACACACACAAACTCACATACAAACAAACAGAAACACGCACACACACACACGCAGACGCAGACGCACGCACATATATACGAACATGTATACTCATAGTACATATATATGTGTAAATACGAGCGCTGGGTGTTCACATGGTGTTCCGGCTGTTCCAGTGGGAATCCCGGCAGATTTAACAATAGTAGGCGACAGAAGATTCCAGAGATCTAAATCTTGGTGGCCCAGGAGTACCAATGCTGATGGAAACAGTTCTTCGACGTAAAGGGTTCTTGTTTATCAAGTTTTCTTGAGGTATTATCCTCCTAAAATTTGGAATCGTAATCAAGATTATATATTGGATGTATAGCGAGAGGAAAAAAGAGCGATAAAAAAACGAGGGAAATATTACTACATGTTGGCCGCCCTGGCTGCGCGGCGTCCAATTCGAGAAAGATCGTCCTTGTGTTTTATTGTCGAGACTATCTGGCCGTACGATCGCTCGCCCCACCGCTACCTCGCCTTATTTTCTCTCTCTCTCCCTCTCTATCCCTCTCCCCCACCCCCTTTTCCCTCTTCCCCTCCTCTCCTCTATGTCCCTCCTACCCTCCTCTCCCCTCTCCTCTCTCCTCCTCTCTCTTCCTTGCCCCTGTCCCCTACTCTGCCCCTCCCCACCCTCCTCTGGAGAAGCCCTTGTGGTTGTAATAATGTCTATTCTTGTTTTATCACTTGTTCCGTTTCGTTAGCAGGGGATCGTTTTCCCTGCTTCTGCTCTCTCCCTCCCTCAGGGCGGGGGGGGGGGTGGTGCATGGAGGGAGACTTTTGTGTATTTATAGGTTGCATTTTCTTTTTTTTTTTGTATTTCTCTTTTTATAGTTTTTTATTATTATAATAATAATTATCATTATTGTTATCGTTAACTTAGCATTGTTATTATTGTTACTGCTAATATTATCATTATTATTATTGTTAATATTGTAATTATTATCATTATTATCATCATCCTCATAATTTTGGTTATTGTTACTGTTATTTGTAGTATTGTCTTTGTTATTACCATTACTAATACTACTTATACTACTATCATTATTCCTGTATGATTAATTATTTTCGGATTTATTATGATGAAAATGACTCTCTCGCCCTTCATGTTCTTCCCCCTTTTACGCCTTTCCCTATTCCATCTTCTTCCAGATTTTTACCCCTTTCTCCCCCTTTTTTAAACCCCGTTTCCGAAAGCATTTTCCGTTAGGCTGCCTTGCGCTCGGCGTGGACGCGGCCGCGAGCAGTTAGCAATGCAGACTGTCACCGCGCTTATCGGATAATCGGATATGGGTTAGTCCCCCCTCCCTTCCCCTCTTCTCCCCCATTTTGCTTTCTCCTCTTTCTCTACTTGTCTTCGTTTTTTTCTTTCTCGTTCTTTTATGTATCACTATCTTCATTCTTTGGTCACTTTTTTCCATTTTTTCTACCTTCTTTTCTCCCTTTCTCCCCATACTTTATTCTTTCCTCCTCCTCCTCCTCCACCCTTCCCTCTTCCTCCTTCTTTCCCTCCTACGCCTTCCTTCCCTCTCTCCTTCTTATCTTCTGTTCCTCCCTTCCCTCTCTCTTTCTTCCCTCCTCCTCCCCCTTCCTTCCTTCTGTCCCTCTCCTTTCCTCCTCCTCCTTCCTCATCTTCTCCCCTTTCTCCCCTCTCCCCCCCCCCCCCCCCTTTCGTAGTGACACCGATCAAGCCGCGGTGATCCTTCTTGGCCTCGTGTAGCCATCTCTTGCTCCCTCTTTCGCTCCTTCGCCCTCTCTCTTGATATGCCTCTGTCTCTGTCTGCTTTCTCTCTCTCTCTCTGCTCTCTCTCTCTCTCTCTCTC